AGAAAAGTGCTGGCAAGTGATCTATCTTCAGAAAATCATTTCACTTTTGTATATAATTGAAGATGTGTTGGCTCTATGTTCATCTCCTGAAATAGCTGCATGAACAAAGGGGAAGTAAGGGCAAATAATTATGGTTTATAATTTTATTCACATCCTACAAAACCATGTCCAGTTCAAGTGACATGCTTTGGGTAGCCAAAGAATCCAGTATTTCTCCCTGGTTGACACAGTGTGAAAACCCATATTCAGAGGTCACCTCTTTGACGCCTACAAAGATGTTCTCAGTGAAGACAAATTTGATGAGAAGACAATGTTCAATAACTGCATCTTATCTTTGAATTGATTTTATTTTCTTCCTTTTAAAATTTCAAAGCTTTCTCTTTCTGTTCAGGGTACTTGGTTTCCACATGATAAAGAAGTTTTGAAAGCTTCATGGTTCTGTTGGATAGCCGCATATATAAAATGGGCTTGGAGAATGTGAATGACCTCTTGAAGTGAGTAAGTAAAACTCAGTATATTACATTAAATATCATCTTCTTTTTGATAACAGTCTTAGAGTCTACCTTTTCTCATCATGGAATTTTTCTTCCTTTCCAAAGATGCACTCTGGTAACATTTATTTTCTACTCATTTTGACGTCGAGAAAAATAAAAGATGAAAATATGTCCCAAATTCCTCCCATATCCCTTAAAACATTTCACAAAATTAATCATACAAATTCATAATAGAAATGAAGATTTATCGTGCCTCTACAATTTATGAAAATGTATCATGTAATTAGGCTTTTTTTTTAACTTTTATGTATTTGGTACACAGTCTCACTACACAGCTCAGACTCATAGTGATCCTCCTGCTTTCAATCTCCCCAGCACTGGGATTTTAGGTGTTTGCCACCACACCAGAACTCCTTCACCAACTCAGCGTGCCCCATGGGTGGGGCCAATGTGGCATGCAGTACCAGGGATTGAATTCTGGTCCCTGCAGTTATCAAAGCTGGTTCTTAGTCTACTGAGCTATCTCACAAGCCCTAATTATGCTTTGTTAATTAATATAATTAAAATAAAGGATATATGGAGTTTGCACCTGTTAGTAATTTCAAATCGGAGGATTTTAAAATAAGAACTTTAAATTGATTCCCATTTGTTGGGTTTTAAGGAGTATTTGTCCTACAACTAAAATAATTGCCTACTTATGTATACTTATTTATAATTATTTATAAATTTTCCAAGTGAGACCTGGTCTTCCATGACATCCTATAAAGCTTAGTGTTCATTGTCACAAGTTGAAATACCAGAGCAGTCCATTTCCGGCAGCTATAGAAACGCCTAGTATAATATATCTTAGGGTCTTAGTCAGATATTACTGCAACAAGTTTTGGAAAAAAGAAATCTTTCTATTATTTTAAAATATGTGCAACATTATATATTTTCTATAAATCTTCAGAAAGATGATGTTTTAGCTGTCTAAGTGAGTTCCCAAGGTATTTTTATGATTTTATGTGATAATCTTTTCATGATGTTTTTGTAGTTGTGAATTTACCACTTGTATGCTGCTGTGACCCCACGTGTCCTGCATGTCATCACACACTGCTACTGCAGCTTATTTTTCCAAGTTAAATAAAAACATTATCAGAGATACAAAGATGCTGCTGTAATCTTTTGACCCTTATACTGACAGTTTCATATATCTTGCAGTAACTAAAGATATGAAATCAGGATTATGAAACAAGTGTACCCTTCAGTGAGGTGTTTCATAAATTTAGTGTCTGGCCGTGTAGTGAAGCTGCTACAGCTTTTGATGAGCACTGACGCACATCTGGAAAATTAAACAAACAACGTGGTTACTGAATTTCTAAGTTAATAACTACTATGAGATACAATTGTTCCACAATTTTGAGACTTTTGGTTTCTTAGACATGTATTACTTTGGCATGCTTAATCCCTGTTTGCTTTATAAGAACACTGTCAGTGAAATGATGGGGTCTTGCTCATTTTGCATAGTATTTTGATCATCTTTTTCATTCATATTTGAACATCGTCTGGCAGTTGGAAAAAGCACAGCAGTCAGTCACCTACAATGAATGTAAAAGCTCATGTTCAGACTTCAAATGTCACCACATTGCTATCTCACTGTGAATGACTTGAATTTGCTTCCTGTTGTTAGTGGTGCTGAAAATTGCCACAGGTTTCCACAGTTTATAATGTATTGTCTGAACTGAAAACATTTCCCAAATTGAATTGACCTTTTAGAAAACAGCACCTTCATCCTTAAAATGCAGAACTGTTGCAATATTTTATTTAAAAAGGTTATTTAGTTATAAAACTTGGAGAAAGGGTAAAGTATTAGAAGAGTGTATCTCTTTATATAACAGTTTGTTGTCAAAAAATACAAAACAAAGACTTTTTGTTATTTAGCCACCTAAATATTATAATGGATAACTTGTTAGAAAAATTGTATCTTACCTACATGGATAAAAATAAAAATATATTAAGTGAGCATTATTTTTAAATTTTTTACTTTTAAGTAGAATGTCATTATGTCATCAAACAGTGAATAGAACACTTAGGTATACAGATTTACTAGACATACATACAAGGCAATAATTTAAATCTACTTGATTGTATGTAGTTGTAGGACCAGTATGGTTCATATAGACCCAACTTAGAAAAATGTAACTAAAGTGAAAAGCTTCTCATCTTTCTCTTGTTTCCTTGATTATTTTTCTTTTCTTTTGTTTTTATTGTTGACCCTGATAAGAGAACAAAAAGAAAATGTTGAAATAAAATATTTTAGATAACAAATTTACAAATATTAAAAATATCTTAGAATATTAAATAATAAAAGTTAAATTATGGCAAAAGCCTTTCAATATTCATAAGAAATTAGAGAACATATTAGGATTTTAATGTTATTCTGGAAAATATAATCATTATCATGATACTAGAATTCCACTGCATGTCCTTAAAATTTCATTTCATTTTCCCCTGGTGAAAGCAAACAGTCCTACTGCCCGTAGCTTTGCATTGTGCTTAATTTGTCCCTCTGCTTACAGTGTCAAAAAACTTATTTCATGACTGAGTCTCTGGCTGCCATTCATTGAGAAGTGACATTCATGCCCCTGTTTGGATTTCTCCCAATGCACAAAGAAAACACAAAATTTAAACATGATCGCGATGGAGAAGATGTTAATAACTCTAATATCACAAAAAATTGTTCAAGATCAGTATGATATCGATGGCTCGGATAAAGTTAGATCATAAATAGGCAACCTGACAAGCAACACTGCAACGCAGAGTCCTGTTTCCTTACTTCCACAGTTGCGATGCGGAAAGACCTGCCCCTGCCGGGTCCACCGGGATTCCTCCATATGCAGATGTGTTTCCGTTATATGTCTTGTACTGTTTTCTCTCTACCTGACACTTGCAAACCATCAGCAAAATTCTTAGACATTATGTACTCAAGTACTGCCCTCCCTAGTTCTCTCATTATATCCCCTTGATCTCTTTTAAGAAGAGGTACTGGCCTTGGGACATATGCGCCCTCCTCACAAGCGCAAGGTCCCAGATTCAGTCCCTGAACAATAACAAAAGGCTTGATATTTATTCTGTAGTCCTTGCTACTCACCACTTTTTACTCCTCACATCTGCCCTTGTTACTATGCCAAGTCTGGACTGTGTCTTCAGATCTATCTTCGATTATTATTTTCCTTAGAATTTCTAAAGTAATTTACTTTATTTTTCATCTCAGTAATTAAATTTTCATTTTATTCTATTTTTTAGTTTGATTTTTAAAATGTTTATTTATTTATTTATTTATTTGCTATGGGATCTCGTTACACAACTTATACTTATAGTGATCCTCTTGTCTCAGTCTCCCCAGAGCTGGAATTACAGTCATGTGCCATCAAGCCCAGTTTTGGGGCCGAATGGAATGCCCAGGGTTCCAGGGCTGGGCCAGCATGAGGTAGGGGGGATAAAACTCGAGTCCTTGCACTTCCCAGGCAGGTACTTAGACCACGGCGACCTATCTTCCCAGCCCAGAATGAATTATTTTTTAGGAGAAATTTATATTTGTTTTTTGATGCCCAGGACCAAACCCATTGCTTCCAGCTTGCTAGACAAGCGTTCTACCACTGAGCCAAATCCCCAGCCCCAAGTAATTATATTTTCAAATGCAAAAGTTTTATACACTTCTTATTTCAACAGTGCTGGCTACTTTTATAAATCTCTTTATATAAAGCACATCCTATATCCTAAAGTGTAATGGAATAAAATGAACCTTCAATTCTACTTCAAACTGCACACCAAAATGAATTCCATGACTTGGACAGATAATAAAGAAAAAGAAATGCATAAACCTTTTTAGAAAAAGTGAAAGTATTTCATACTCTTGTGTTAGGCAAAGAATTCTTGAAGATGACACATTTTTAAACTGTTTTTTAAAAATGTATTCGGTTGTTACAGGGTCTCACTATGCAACTCTAACTCTTATTGATCCTTCTGCTTTCAGCTTCCCCAGAGCTGGGATTACAGGTTCGCAACACTACACCCAGACTCTGTGGCCAGCTCAGCCCTTCCCTGGGACAGAGCGGGCTTGGCATGTGGTGCTAGGGGCTCAAACCGTGGTCCCTGCACTTGCACAAGCTTGCCTAACTTGCCTAAGCTTGCCTCTGCAGGAGCTTTAGTCCTCTGAGCTATCTCACTGCATCCCATTTTTAATCTTAAAAATTAAATAATTGGCTAAGATTACTCATAAATTTCCATAGAATGGAAGATCAAATAATAAATTAATGAAAATAAGTAGATTAGTAAGAAGTAGAAAGGACGTTAGCAAACATTTCACAAAAGATACCCAAATCACTTATCAACACGTACTCAACACTTAGTTAATCAGTAAAATATGTATATTCATTTTTAAAAATGTATTTGGTACAGAGTCTCATATGCAGCTTGGACTTTTAGTGATTCTCCTGTTTTCAGCCTCCTCCGTGCTGGGATTACAGGCGTGTGCTGCCACACCTGGGCTGAGAGGCAGGCTCAGCAGGCTCAAGGATGGGCCTGCACTGCATTGTGTATTGATTTTAAAAATAAATGTTTTACTTTTATCTTGTAAACACATCACAAAATGCTAAAAGACTCATAAGAAGAGATGATAAAACTGGATAAATTATAGTCACATTCTCAAAGATATCACCAGGTTTTGGAAAAATAAAATGCAATGGAAATTCCAGTGAAATCCACATCTTTCTTAATTGAACTGAAAAACTACATTTGATTTTTCACTAAAGAAACTTTCCGTGCTAGAGGCAACAACCCTGGATGGGTCCCTGGCAAGAAAAGCAAAATAAGCAGAGAAAATCCAGCAATGTTTTATACAGTTACACAAACAAATATCCAATCTGCTCTAACAGACATATAGAAAGACTGGAGATGCTCTGGGCAAAAAGTTAAAGAGATATGCTAAAAAAAATCAATACTGAAAGAATAGGAGAAATGTCTAGACTACCTATTTGCTAAAGAACTGCCAGTGTCAATTAAATATTAATTGGACACATGGAAAATTTACATATTAAGTTGTACAGATTCACTAGTAAATAGAAAACAGAATTTCTTGTCACATATCTGATTATCAAATATTAGATTACTGATATAACTAATTTCAAAGAGGATATAATAAATGTAGTGTTCAATACCAAACTGTGTAACATTGCAAATCTTGGGGTTCATAGTGCAATAGCTAGATCTAATTAGGTCTGTCATTTAAGATAGCTTGTGAAATTCCAACAATAT